GTTGGCGGGCTGGGGAGGGCGGCCCTGCCACCTGCGGCCCCGGAACCGCTGGGGGTTTCATTTTTGCTGTAAAACACGCCCGGCTGTTAACGATGGCCTGGGTTGGTGGGGAAGGGGTTTCATTTCCCTGCAAGCGATTTACGAGCCACTTAGAGCTGGAATATAGCACGAAACGATAGGGCTTTCTATTGGGAAAGTACTCTACTCTGCAAAGTTTTGGTGTCGGCTCCTACCCACTCTGTTCTACATTGTAGTCTTTCCGAGCTGCAGATTGTAGTCACGTGATTCAATGTGACAATAGCCACAGGGGAGAAAAGCACGTCCAACGACGTAGTTACGGTTCTTTGATGGCCTCGGAATGAACTTTTTCGTTTTGGGGGCTGCCCTCTTAGGCTGCCTCCCTTTGAGGACGACTTGAAGGCACCGTGAACGCGCCACAAACAGTAGTTTGTTTAGTCTTCTCCGCCTGTGTGGGCAGCCATTCATTTTCGTTTTAATTGGAGGCGTGGAAACTTTAGTCTCTGGCCTGTATCCCGAGGGATGCTGTTCTTTTAACGCCTGTCAGCTTGGCAGCTCTGTATGTCTTAGCTTGTTTGGAATTCAGTTTACATACTATATAAAGTGGCCCCATTGGAAGTACGAAACTCGATGGGCTGGGCAGCTTTTTGTGAATGCGAATTCAAGTGAGGTATTCCAGATCTGCTCCTTAAAGTCAGGCGCTGAAGTGCTGCTGTCCCGATGCCCAGCAGCCTCCGCACGTGTCACTGCTGCTCTCGGGGAGGACATCTGTCCTGAAGCAGGAAGGCTTCGGGGTCAGAGTAGGCCTGGGTTGGCGGGGGCTGCTCCCTGAAGCCATTCGGCTTTTAAGTCTTATAAATAAATAACTCAAAAGGGTGGGGGTGTTTGAGGAAGTGCTGGGAGGAAAGCCCTCGTTCACCCGTCTCCGACCCTGATTGTGTCTGTGCTGGTCTCTCCGAACTTGGCACTTCTCTCTGCAGTTGTGCAACTGGATGAGGTGGCTTGTTTTCTGGAGCAACTCTTTCAGTTGTTGAGGAAATTGAGCTACTGAAAGTCATAGGGTCACCCCAGCTGGGAGTGCTAGAGGCGAGATTGCCTGGGGAGAAGGTGGCCCCCGGGCCATGCTTTTCCTGGAGACCTGGAGGAGTAGGA